ATTCCTTCCAAATCCGTATGACCGGAAATAGTGCTCTACTAAGAAGTAAGAAAACTGTTTCTTAAGTTGAAAGATACATATGACGAAGATTTTAACCTTAACTTAATGTCAACCTCATAACTAATGCCAAGTAAGCGAAACATGATAATTGCAACTTGCGTGCGCAATTACTCAGAGCTCTAGGTTTCGGTACTGTTTATTTTGGCGGATACCGTATTAGAAACTGTGTCTAGGCACCATAGGCACATTTCGTTGCATCTTACTCGACTTGCAAATGGGTCCAAAGGTGGTTTTAGGAGGTAAAACAAGAAAATTTAAAAACTAGAAATTTCAATTTTTCCCAGAATTACTTGTCCTGCGACATTTTCTTCACAACCAAATGTACATTTTTCGTATTTACTCCCAAAAACCACCCTTGGACCCATTTGCAAGTCGAGTAAGATGCATTGAAATGTGCCTATGGTGCCTGGGCACATTTTCTTATACATTCGGTTGTGAAGAAAATGTCGCAAGACACGTATTTCTGGGAAAAATTGATATTTCCAGTTTTTCAATTTTCTTGTTTTACCCCCTAAAACCACCCTTGGACCCATTTGCAAATGGATTAAGATGCATTGACATATGCTTATGGTGCCTATAGGCACAGTTTCCAATACATTTGGTTGTGAAGAAAATGGCGCAAGATTTCTGGGAAAAATTGATAGATATTTCTAGTTTTTCAATTTTCTTGTTTTACCCCCTAAACCCACCCTTAGACCCATTTGCAAGTAGAGTAAGATGCATCGAAATGTGCCTATGATGCCTAGGCACAGTTTTTAATACATTTGGTTGTGAAGAAAATGTCGCAAGAAACGTAATTCTGAGAAAAATTGATATTTCTAGTTTTTCAATTATCTTGTTTAGCCCCCAAAAACCACCCTTGCACCCATTTGCAAGTCAAGTAAGGTACTCTGAAAGGTGCCCATGGTGCCTAGGCACCGTTTCTAATACATTTGGTTGTGAAGAAAATCTCGCAAGACACGTAATTCTGGGAAAATTTGATATTTCCAATTTTCCAATTTTCTTGTTTCACTCCCACAACCACCCTTGGACCTATTTGCAACTCAAGTGAGGTGCCCCATAATGAGTTCATCGTGTGTAAAAGCATTTTTGACTTCACCTGGTTGAGGAAAATATGTGGAAAGTCCCGTCCGTAAGTTGGTGAAAAATTAATATTCCATATATTTTAATTCTTTGTTTACCTTCAAAAACATGTATTGGATTCATTTGCAATATTTTCTTGTTCACCTTTAATAACTGGATTAATTTTATCGTATTTATAAAAAAAGGAATGTATAGGTAATACCTAAAAATAAGACATAAACGACGCCACTGACTGTTCGGGTAGACTTGGGAGTCAGGCTGCTAACTTTTGGCTGCCAAGACAAACCTATAACAACACATAGTCACCAAAATATTGTCAGAACCGCCTGTTTCACAGTAGTTGCAGCTTTGGGGGTTGATGGGAAGAAACTCGCTCAAGTACTTGTAAATATTTGTAATTGTCGTATAACTTACCCCGGATTCGTTCAGTAGGATTGAACGATGAGAATTTTATTACAATTTAAACAACAAATCTTCTGAATAACGAAATGAGAAACAAATAGGACCTACGTTGTGGAAACTTACTCAATTTTACTTACTGGACATGCGCCCGACATAGAAAATATTTGGGAAACTTAAGGGAAGTTGTGATATGTGAAAGAAACGAAAAATTGGTGAAACATCTACTTTATTATTAAAGTAAATCGTACCGTTCTCATCCTGGAACTAACGAGGGAAAGAGAACGGCAGAGAAACCCTTGATCTAACATTCCTTAAAAAACGAAACATACTGTGTCAAGTTAAGTGACATTTAAGTCAATAAAAGTTTAAATTAGGTACCGTCTTTGGTCTTTGTGCTAAAATTTTAATTACACACTCAACATTCAATCAACACTACCTATATTCAATACTGAAGAGTTTTTTTTGTTAGTTAGCCAGTTTCCCAGCGGATACTGAGGTCCCATACGGGAAGCTACTCAGCTATAGTTGTTTTTGAGCCAATATCTCTAGATTGATTATTTCAATTTGTTAGGATATTCTCTCGTCAGGGTAGGAAAATGTTAGTAAACTCAACAAGGCCCTAATGCACGCTCTAAATCCACAAAATCAAAATCTCAGCACAAAAAGACAGCACATAATTTCTTGGGTTTTAATTTACTTCTTTATCTGTGTTGTTTACAGTATGAAACGATTTTTGTTAAATACATGAACAATGCACATGTTATAAAAAAAATTATAAACAAACAAAAAATACATAAAAATGAACAAAATAATAGGAACTTGCATAAATTAAACTTTCAAAAACAAAATAACATTTATACCACTAACCTGTGAACGCTCCTTACACACACACTAATAACGAATTGGATTGAACAATCAATTTTAATGGAAAATAAAAATGAAAATTGAATAATGAATAATTAGACACGCGACACGTTTTCTAAGGGACCAGTCCAGCTCGTTCTGTAGTCTCTCTAATGCCTAATCGCCTCTTCTCTTGTATCTTCTTCGGTCTTCGGTACCTTCGTTTTCCGTGGCGCGCTCGTTCAATCCTAAACTTGATGGCGCATACATGGTTGCAACATTTACTTTTATTCAGTAAACTTTGTTTTTTAAAAATTAAGATTCAAAGAAATTAATAATATTTTAAATAGGTGGTTTTCTTCATAATAAACTCCATTATTGAATTCAAGTATAGTGTGTTAAGAAGACATTTCTGGAAAAGATATTTGGCACAAAAGAAACTACAGTTACAAGCTGTTAGAGCCAACACAGAACAAAAGAGGAAAAAACGTATTAGATAAATTGCATTAATACCCGGAAAATATCATATTTTATCGCCCAGGAGCACCCTTTTCTTGAGAGAAATTCGGGGTCAAATAAAGAAACAAAAAATTGGGTCACTGTTCTCCTGGATGGGGATGGAAGATACTTTCATATAACTAACTGAGTCATAACTGTTAATTGCTGTCGCCCTTGGCCTTATTTATTAAAAAACGTAAAATATACTAATAACCTGTCCCAAATATCGTGCAATGTTTGGCATAAATGACAAATTAATTAATTTTGTCTGAATAGTTTTGTCCATAATTAAGGATTGCGTGAGAACTTATTACTTACTGTATTTTCTTGGAAGTTTTTTGGCATGTAAACATAATTTACTATTATGTGGTCGATACAAGTTCAAAAACATTCTGTTTTTTGTTTGACCCATTTACCATTTTCTTGTAATTTATATAATTTATAAAAAACGTTAACACATTTGAGTTTAAAAGAATTCTGTTAACGCTAATTATGTTAGCACTTATTCACTGGTGCACGAATTTACACTTAGAGCTTTTTGAGGTAAAAAGTCTTAACTGTATAAGAAATAAGGTGATTATTTTCCATCAGCTATAGCATTCTCTTTTCTTTAATGTTCCAAACTGAGGATTTTAATGGAGGGTTTGAGGTAAAGCATGCGTAAAAGCTTGAGATAAATCAAACTTTCAGTTTTTTACATTTTGTTTCGATTACAATTTGAAAATTTTTCAAAAATAATGAGCGAAATATCGAGCTTTGTCTATTATGGACAGTTTGCTGTTAATCATACAGAAATTTCAAAACGATCGAGCCACACAATAATTGTTATCTTGAATTAAGGCAAATACCATTATACAAGCGAACTTATTAATTACCGTTCATCAAATACAATTAATGTTTGCCAACCATTCTAAAATACACAAATTTGGCTCATCTGACGATCATTAATATTTGATTACGATTACATTGACTGAAGGGCTTTTGAAATGGCGGTTTTAAATACACTCAAATAAAAAAATAAATCGTCAACTAAAGTTGAATTTTAGACGAGCGTCCGTAATCATCATATTTGGTAGTGTAACAAAACTATGTAGATGTATATGAGATTTCCTGTATGTGTGCCAGTAGTCATTTAGGAACATTCGACCCACCACCAGAAAAATTTCACAGATAGTCTATGCAGACAGTGAGTGGCACACGAGTATTTGAATTAACACGTTTCATTTTATTGTAGCTTTCGCTATTAAATTCTCCTTTGATAAAGTGTTAGGATTCCTGAAAAGCTTGTGTTAACATTACTTGTTACACTGGCGCCCAACGTGGGGCCAAAAAATTCTGAACTTAGAACAGTAAATTTGTGATAAGTTTCTGGAAAAGAAATCCCCACAGAATCTGGCAAGTTTTTCCGAAATCTATTGTTGATTCTTGTGCAGTGCTAGTGCTTCTACCTATTTTCCTGTCGCAAAAGCAGAGCAGTGCTTTTGTTGACTGTGATGTGAGTGTGACCATTTTCCTCTGCAATTTTATGTACCAAATTCTACTTACCACTGGTTTTTTGTCAATATTGATGGTGAATTTTGCTGTCAAAAACCCTATGGGTTTAAATCGAAAAAAAAAGGGAAAATGTCCAACTAATTAAGCATGTCTTCAAAAAATCAATTGACGCAGTTTGTTAATTGGATCTATTCGAACTTTTTTACAATGAAAAAAGTTTATCAAAATATTCTCTTTTTAATAATAAAAGTTGCACCATTATTACCCCTAATATTGATCATAAAAGTTGTCTTCTTTATTCCGAAATTGCCCGAGTTTTTCCGGACCATTAAAACCCAAATAAAGGCTCCCTTTTATGGTCTTATAAGGACGCCGCAATATTCATTCGGTAAACATTTAAGCAGAAACACCAGTGGCAAGGGTTTTGTAAATAAATCCCACTTCAAGACTTTGTCAGCTGGTAAACATAGCTTTTCGTGTAAGCTGTATTCGTCTGGAAATAATATTTCAAATAGATTGTGCTTTGAGTAAAAAGACAAATTAAATGAGGATAATAATTAAAATATTCCAAAGTTCCAAAGACAAAAAAAATTTCAATTCTTTTCGAGATTTAATTTAAGCTTTGTCATAACTCAGCTGCAGCAAAATTATGTCCGCTGGCATAAATTTTTCAGGAACATCAGTTTTCCGCTTGAAAATACTTATTTCGAGGACTGGATGTTATTGCTCCATTCTAAAGTTATTAAACAATGTGTTTTTTTTTTCCAGACAAATGAACCATGTACGGGTTAATAATAGAAAATATGACAGAGTACATAAAGGCGACATATGGAGAGGAAAAATGGGAAGAAATTCGTCGGGCAGCTGGAGTGGATCAACCCAGTTTCAGTACGCATCAAGTTTATCCGGAAGGTTTAATACCGAGATTATCCAAGAAGGCTGTACAGGTAAATGCAAAATGTATCATTGAGTAACAAAAAAATTACCTCATCTGTTGTTTTTATTTATGATAATACTCACTCAGTATCATTAGTGATTGGTAAAAGAAGGCATAGTAACTTAATTTAAAATTTTTGCAGTTTCCTTTATAGAAACCTTTAAAAAGGTAGCAATTTCATACGACTTATCTCCCACCTGTTAGAATCCTATCTATTTTCTCGGAAATGAATAAGATAAATGTCCTTTAGCTGAAGCCAGAAAGGAAATTAAGTTCCGATTCCAAGATTTGTTATCTTTTATCACAATTTATTTAATACAAATGGGATTTATATTTCAGATTTTGAAAGTCAGCGAAAAAGAATTCTTCGACCAAATGGGAGTGTTTTTCATCGGGTTCGTCAGCCAGTACGGCTACGACCGAGTACTGTCGGTACTCGGCCGGCACATGCGAGACTTTTTGAACGGTCTCGACAACTTGCACGAGTACCTCAAGTTTTCTTATCCGAGAATGCGAGCGCCGAGTTTCATTTGCGAAAACGAAACGAAACACGGATTGACGTTGCATTACAGAAGCAAACGGAGAGGATTCGTTTATTATACGATGGGACAAATACGTGAGGTAATAATTATTTGTTTTTCTCTTCATCATGTTACAAGTCGATAATATTTTTGGATAGCGAAGGAATTATAAGAAAATTAATATTCTGCACGCAATTCCATAAACATGAAACCTACTAAGTTGATTTTCAAAGCGACCTAACTCGAAAACGAGAAGCTTGGAAGAAAAACTTCAAATATAAAACTTGTAGATCTCGTCAAATACTACAAAAAAGTGTATAAGAAGTATCGCTCCACGGGGCACGGTTTTCGAGAAAATCGACCTCAAAAATTTTAACAAAATTACAAAGAATTTCAACTTTGACGGCTGATATTTCAAAGACAAAAATGGCCTGGAATCTCAAAGCGAAAAAGTAACGTCGTATCCTTAGCCTGGGTCCTATTCCTAGCTAGTCTAAACATAGCCCTTTCTGTAGCTCCCTTCACCGACAAGTGCAAAGGTGTGAGGTCAAGTATGACGTTCAACGCTGCTGTTGGACATGTTTTCATGGCTCCTGTAATACAGACACTTGCCAGTTTTTGCAATTTATCAAGTGCTCGCCTTGTAGTGCTTTGTTCTGCTATGTCATACCAAACTGCTGCCCCATATATGTGATTATGGGTTTTACCATCATAATGTACATCCACGGCAGTATTTTTGGTGTACATCCCCAGTTTTTACCCGCCAAGTTTCTGCACACCATAATGGCTTTAGTAGCTTTGTTAACAATGGCTTCTAGGCGTTTTTTCCATAGAAGTTTACTATCCACTTAAGTGAATTTCCCTAGTAAGTTGAATTTTCCTTCTAAGTGTAAATGGTACAATAGTGGTTTTTGCTGAGTTGATGTTCAGTCCCACCGATGTGCACCATTCTTCGGTAGTACTTAGGCCTTTTTGTATGAGGTCGTATAGTGTGCCCTCAAACTTGCCTTTGGCAATAATGATAATATCATCGGCGTAACCTATACAAGTTAGACCCTGATTTGTCAGTCTGGACAGGAGTTCATCAACTACCAGGCTCCACAACAGGGGTGAGGTTACTTCCCCTTGAGGTGTACCACGAGTGGTTCTGATGCTTGTTCAACCACAGTTGTCTCAGCTGTTCTCGTAGTCAGCATTTCACAGACCCACCGGACTATGGTTTAATTCACTCCTCTCCTCTCCAGAGCAATTTTTACCGCCCCATGGGACGTGTTATCAAAAGCCCCGGATATATCCAGGAAGGCACATATGGCTGTTTCTTTTTCCTTAAGGGTTTTTGGATGATTTCTGTAATTTGATAGAGTGCTGTCTCTGTCGATATGCCTGCTCTGTATGGATGTTGGCACGAGTGTAGAGGTGCCTTCTCCAAAATTTCCTTTCTGATGTAGTTATCTACAGCTTTTTCTATCGTCTTTAGTACAAAGGACGTAAGACTAATGGGTCGAAAAGATTTAGGGCTTGTCCCATCCTTTTTACCTATTTTGGGTATGAAAGTTACTTTAGCTCGTCGCCAGATACTCGGTATATATCCCGAGGCTAAACTAGTCCTAGCTTTTCTAAGTAGGTGAGGGAATATATCCTTTTGCCCTTTTTGTAAAAGGGCAGGAAATATTCCGTCCACTCCTGGTGACTTAAACGGTTGAAAGGTACTTATTGCCCATTTCATCCCTTCCGCAGTAAAAACCCTCTTTGCAGATTCCCAGTCCTCCTTCTTCGGTTTACTGGTGTCGACTACCGTGGTTATTTCTACTGGTACGCTACCTGGAAAGTGCGTTTGAAGTAATAGGATGGCCTGCTCCTCTTCTCCTTTCGTGTAGGTGCCGTCCGGCTTTTTGACGGCCATCACTGGATTTGTTCCTCCTTTGGCCATGGCCTTATGTAGCCTTGCAGCAGTTGGAGTGTCAGCAATTTCCTCACAAAAGGTTCTGAAATGTTGCCTTTTGGCTTTTCTTATCTCTTTGTTATACAGAGTAAGTACTTCTGCATATCCCTGCCAATTTCCGTCACTTTTTGTTGCATAGTTTTGCTGTATTGAAAAGATGACGGACTTGAAATCACAGTTGAAATCTCAGTTTTGACAGGTGTCTGTTCCATGGTGCATCTTTTTTGGATCTCGCTGTAGTCACTGGGCAACTGGATTCAAAGGCTTCCATAATTGTCGTTGTGACTTCCTTGGTGTCCTGCTCCAGGTGCATGTGGTGTCTTTTTCCACCTGAACTTAAGCAGTGAAGGTTGTTCTGTAAATTGGTTTTGTAGGCTTCCCAATTGGTTTTTCTCGGAACCCTTCGTATGGGTCTATTGTATTTTACATTCTCTAGGTTCAACTCAATTATCCTGTGATCTGACAGGGATGGTTCGGTTGATACTCTCCAGTTTTTGATGAGGTCTCTAATACTGGAGCTGACTAAAGTTATATCTAATACTTCCGACCTTGTTCTAGTCACGAATGTAGGCATAGTACCAACATTCAAGACCTCAAGGTCGGTAGTCATAAGAAATTCAAACAAACACTCACCTCTATAGTTGATATCCGTGCTTCCCCAGATAACATGATGTGCATTTGCGTCGCAACCTAAGAGTAGTGGCAGGCGCTCTCTTCTGCAATATTGGATCAGCTCTTGTACCTCCGGCGGTGGTGTCGTTAGCCCATCTCCAGGAAAGTATGCTGAAGCAATTACTATGTTGCGGTTGCAGCCCCCAATGTCGAGTTGTACGACAATGGGTGTCAAGTCCCGTGACATAAATTCTGTAACACACATATAATTAATGTCATTTCTTATGAGAATACAGGCTCTGGGTGATTCCTGCCTTTGAAACTTTGCTTGACAAACCTTTGATTTGCCCTCTATTGATCCAGGGTTCTTGGATCATAACTAGTCCCAGATCTTGGTTAGCGAACATTCGTACAATCACATCGGAGGATGCCCGTTTGTGTTGCAGATTGATTTGCGCTAATCTGGTGAATGTTCTAGTAATGGGAGGAGGGATCAGCAGGTGGTCTGTTTGGACTATTCTGTCCTTCCCTCTGCTGTTCCTTACTTTGATCCGCCAAAGGCTTCTCTTCATCTTCCTTGCTAATGACCTCATCCTCAGAAGAAGAGTTGACTTTAAGAGATTCTAGGCTTAAGCCCTCGGTCTCTTGCCCTCGTTTCCCTTTGATGCAATCTCATTGGTGAGGGTGTTCTCCAACAGAGAAGAGGCTGTTGTTGGTTCAAAGTCCATTTTCTCTTCCTCCGCTTCTTCTCGCTTCCTAAGGCCAGATACCGGGCCCAAACCTGTAGTGGATGGAGTGTCCCTTGGCCTTGATAGCTTCCTTACTTTTGGTATCGATCTCAATTGTAAGGACTTGGCCGTGGCCTTGTTATTTCGTGTTAATAACTCGCCACGTATTTGTGGAGAGTTCCGCGTTCTGGACTTCAACGAGTCTCAGAAGAGCTTTGGTGTCTTGCCCTTTGCTCCTTGGGAGGAAGATACTGATCGTATGCGACTCCGTGCAACGAGTTCTGGCCCCTTCCATGCTTTCAGTCTGGGTGATATCTGAACCAGCCATTCGGCTGTCTGCTCAGATTCACAGTCCACCAATACCATTCCCGAGCGCAAATGTATACCAGAGAACCGCAAGCCCCTGGCTGTGCTTCCCATCATTTCTGCAACTACGGCCTCCTAGTATTCGAGTTGTCTTTGTATAATCCAAATACCTATAATCAAATTCTTTCAGGTTGCCCGTCATTTCTACCACAAAGAAATGAAAATCGAGCTGGTAAGAGAAGAACTATTATTCGACATGGTCCACGTGACGTTCCAATTGACATTCGACAATAGAGCTTTTACCCTGGCCTCGCTGACGATGACCCGCGAAGAAAAACATTTACCCATCAGCGCTTCGGTCCTGTTCGAGATATTTCCATTTTGTATAGTTTTCGGGTAAGCAATTATACGCGAATTTCGGCTGTTTGCACATCGGCCCTAAATAAATCAAACTTAGGTTTCCATTAATTTTGTCAAACATCTGATGCGTAAACTTATACAAATTGGCCCTCCGATGTGTAATTAGCTGAAAATTACATTACTTTTGAATTGATTTATTTCAGATCTGATATGATAGTACGTAGTATAGGAAATTCGCTTATGGTTATAATGCCCGATCTCTTAGGGAAAAAGATAACGAATTGGTTCGATTTGGTACGACCATTGACTGCCTTTAAATTTAGTTCGGTAAGTAATGCATTTTTCCTCCATAATTTCATGGTTATGATACACATTTACTTATTCTGCTACTTTGGAATTCAATTACCCCCATTACGTATCCTCCAACTAGTTCTTTATTTTCAGCTGCATTATGCATGAACGTAAACCTTTTGCTTATTATATGATCAGATTTCTTTGTTTCAAATATATTTTTGTATGCTGGAAGTTTTATATGTCAAATTTAAAAAAGCATAATGCCAAGCAAATATATAGAGTTGCTTCATGCATAATGTAAGTTTTATTCGGCTAAAAATGAATAGTGGGTTGATTGAGGCATTTCACCTTTTCAGATATTAAACAGGACGAACAATATATTTGAATTAGTAACTGTTGAACCGATTTTGAACGATAAACCATCGGGACGACAGGAATTAGTTATGAGTGACGAAATGGACTCGTTTTACGAGGAAAAGAATCTCAGGTTAAAAGGCGAGTATAATTTGAGTTACTTAGTTGTATTTTAAACATTTGCAATTCAATTTTTGTTTGTCGTGTCTTATGTGCTAAAAATCAAATTTAATTCAAATTTCATTAAAGTAGACACTGCACCTTATGGCGTCTATCTGTTTGCTCGACGCTCAAAATAAAATAAAACTTTTTCCATTTCAACGCGCTGACTGACAATCCTTGGAAACTGATTAAGAAAGATTATTGTTTGGGCTCAAAAGCTCTTCGGGCTGGACTAGGGTGATAACATTTTCTTCTGGAAAAAATAATAATAATCTCTATTCGTCCATATACATTTTTAATCTCTAGAATATGCTTCATATTCGAATTATTATTGGAATCCTTTATTTATTAAAGGGATTTTGTATGGTAGTTGCTGATATTAGGATTTTCCTTTTGTTATTGGAAATGTATTTTCCAGGCTACATTGAGACATTAGGACAATGTTTGTTGCCCTATACCATGGAATAAAAATATTACGTACCATATCAGCTCGTTATTGATTTGGAAAAAAAGTTTTTATGTTATCTATATATTTTTTATTTGCAAAATCTCTCTCAATGTCGTTTTTTGGAAGTTTGATTTTTTCCCAAAATGACATTGGTTCACATTTTGCCTTGCAACTAAAGGTGAGTTGCGATTTCACGAACTGTGATTTTGTCACTGCTACTCGTCTGTCACAGTCACGTCTTGCCCCAGTCCCACTCAAGTAGCAGTGACATTTTGTCACGGCCACTTCGATCTCTAACCGATACAGCGCGACCTAAACTCAACTTAATGAAATATTATTATAAATCACATTGCGTTGACGCAAAACAGAAACTGCTACTGCAGAGGGCAGACTGGAACATTTATCTCGGCCGTGACTGTGAACTGGGCGAACTGCGATTATGTAATGTACCATTTATATGTATTACCAGCACGGCCAGTCAAGTCACTGTTATTTGTTACCGTGATACGACTGGAGCAGTCACTGTCTTGTCACAGTTCCAGTAAAATCGCAGGTTAGCCCACCTCTAGTTAAAACCAACCCGGAGGTGATTCGATATTGAAAAATCGACCCACAGGGACGAAAAAATGTAGCAACCCTGGCACAAAAATTGCAGCAACCCTGACGCAAATGTCAAAAAATTTGACATATCAAAGTCAAAGTAGGCCTTGTAATTTTTGACAATTAATTCAAAATGGCGTTTGTTTGTTTTTTGTTTTGAGAGCCCGCCCCTTTTTTTTGATTCGGATTCGTTTTTTCAGATAAATTTAGTGTTTTTTAAGTGCAAAGTAGCTCTAAAACCCTCTGAGTAGGACAAGGAAACAGATAAAGTAGGATATAATCTTAGATTAGGGAAGAGAGTGGATGCGTAACAACTCAAGGGCATTTGTTACCACCTGCCACATCGCCGATAATAATCAATTTTCGATTTATTTTTATTTTAAGGTATTAATAATAAGAAATTTAATTTTACAGATTAATAAAAATACCTTATGAGGTGCTATTTAAATAGTTTTCTGCATTTTTAATTATTTTTCGGGACAATTTGATATTTAAAATAAAACATGACAAGACGGGATTTTTTAAAACAAATTTTATTAATACAAAAATATCCTGCTTCCTTTTTCTCGCTGCGACTTTTAAATCCATAGGCTGGACAATTCACCATCGTAAAATTCACTTTTTTTCAATTCACTGCCGATTTTCACTGGAAAATACACGAAAAATACCAAACACTGCATTCGCTTTGTCTGCCACATAAACAATGGCGACATGGTAACAGAATCGAATCAGTGCGCCTATAGGATGCGCAGTATCCACTCTCTTCCCTAATCTAAGGATATAATTCAAGTGCTCACTTTGTTTAAAAGAGGCAGAAAAACCTTATCTACCCCTAATTTTAGTATTTAAAATTAGAAATTTTTGGATGAAAATGAACAAAACTCAAAGCCTCGTACTTATTAAAGTCGGTTTTCTTGATCGAAAAAGTACATACTGAAAATGCGGAAAATCCAAAGAAAATCCCGTAAAAATGACAATCCAGAGTCTACTTAATAACACTTGAGTTTTTGTCACTTACCCCATTGGAAAACTGGAAATTTTTGGCAAAAAATTAAAGAAATTCAAAGCATCGTCTTCTCAATTGGTTTTCTCAATTGAAAACGGCCTGGAAAAGCGGAAGATTCGAGGAAAAACTGGATAAAAACATTCAAAAATGACCGATTGTCAAAACTGGGAAATGACATTGTGCGATGTTGCCACATCTCAAATAGGAAAAAATTACATTTTAAATAGTTTAAAATAATGCATTGGAATCTTATTTTTAATAAATTTCAATAAAAATGAAATTCCAATGCCTGCTTAATAGTAAGTAAGACAAAGAGGGAGATAAAGTAGGAAACAATTTAAGTCTAAAAATGGAAGTTTTTGGTGGAAAAATGGAGCAAATTCAAAGCCCCGCATCTAAAATCATCTTTTTCTAATTGAAAAATCCCTGATGGAAAAGTAGAACATTCAATGGAAAACCAACATTCCAAAGCCTACTTGAAAAATCAAAGTTTTGGTCACTTACTCCATTGGAAAACTGGAAATTTTTTTAAAACGATTTTTCCGATTGAAAACGGCCTGGAAAAGCGGAAAATTCGAGGAAAAACTGGATAAAAATGTAAACTCGTCCAGTGGCGTATCCAGCCTGAGGCTCTGGGGGGGGGGGGGGGCAGGCCAGATGCCCGCCGGAGGCGGAAATGTTTTGGGGTGCCACGCCTAAAAGTCGTTAAAATCACACATCTTGATGGCATAATCGCGCGCATCCAATACTTTTATAGGACAAAAAATATATTTTCACCGAAAAATAAGGTAGTGTTCGTATTTGTTCCGTATTATTAGCCTGCTGGCCGCCACTGAAAGAAGTTTTGGGCTGCTCATTGAAACGATAAGAGGTTGATATCTGAAATTATTTATTTTCCTGAGAAATCGTCTTTCAAGAAACAAGTAACATGTAACACAAAATACAAAACCAAACTCAAGTTAAGTTCAAGGTGTGTATCTTTCATCTCTGTCTAATCGATTTACCTTTTTTCATGGATGTATATGACGTCAAAAGTTATTTTAGTGTCTTGATTGATTTGGATTTTTTATTCATACCATGTCACTGTCATTCACTCATCCCTCAACTTTACTATCTCACCCATATCTTACCTTACCCAAACTGTCGTCTGTTGTGGAGAGGGGTTGAGGGCTAGTTTGCCTTTCTTCAGGGAAAAGCTTTACCTTCTCTGAAGAAGAACCAAAACTTGTTTTTTTTTTTTTTTGGATTTATTGATTACCGCGCGCCCGCTCCGTTATGTGGCTATCTTGAGTTTTCTCTTATACGAGCTGCTCAACTTATGTTTAAGTGATTTTTCTTGTCCGTTGGGGGAAATCAATTAGACAGGCTGCTGTGTACCACCTTATTGACACAGGCTTGGTAGCAGGAGTTAGAGTCGGGTGGTTCTTTGAGTTTAGCGGTTAATTGAGATATTGCATACCTAGGTGTGTTCGTCCGCACACTGATTTCTTTTTCTATCCCCTCTTGATTGGGCCTTTTTACGGATAACTTGTATATGGCGGCTGATCCCCGTTCATATGCAAGGGATGAAAGGTCTCTCTGACTTCCTCTCCGGGAACTCCGCCCAGATCTAAATTCATTATGTATAAATTAGCGTTTCAATCTTTTCACTGTAGGGTCTTTCCTGACAGTTTCTTTTGTGATGTCCGTAGATTTTATCGAAAACGGTGCCCCGTGGAGGGATACTTCTTATAGGCTTTTTCGTAGTATTTTACGATATCTACAAGTTTTGCATTTGAAGTTTTTCTCCCGAGCTTTTTGTTTTTGAGTTAGGTCGCTTTGAAAATTAAAAAAAAATTAAAAATGGAAGGCTTATATATCCCCATAGATTTTTTTTTCGTAAAATTAAAATTTTGAATTTCGAAATTGTGCCTTCCTTTTTTTTATTTTTTATTTTTCATCAAAATTAAATCTGAAAATATACTCCTGGACAAAATTATCGCACCATTGCTTATGTGATGCTTATGTGCAGTGGTGCGATAATTTTGTCTAGGAGTATATATACTTACATGAAGAAAAGGAACATTTTCTCGAGTATTCATGGTTTTTATTGAATTTGAGATAAATTATTGAGGGCATGGGCACCCCAAAACAAATTTTGCCTGCTGCGCAGTGGTTACCTTACCGCCGTAATTCATTATTTTTTAGCCTCCTCACTTGAAAGTCACTAGCCGCCACTGGTAGTGGCCTTAGTGATATAGGCTACATGCACCAACAGCATATTGATAACCTGCGAAAATATTTTCTATCCAACCAAAACACAAACTCTTTATACAAAGCAGTGATAAAGATCGACCAAGGTTTCTCTCCATTGAAACTTCACTCTGCAAACATGCAAACCACAGAAGGCATTGCACGGAAAACATCTCTATGAGCTTTCGGCTGATAATGTGGACCTTGCGGTATCAAATCTGTGGCTTGTACGGGGAGAGCTTTCTCCAGAGACTGAGGGTTATACCCACAGCAAATTATAAAGAATACTGCCAGCGTCGATGATAAATGCCGAAAGTGCAAGCGAGCTTCAGAAACCATTCAGCACATAACAGCAGGATGTACAGTACTAACATCTACTGAGTACCTCCACAGGCATAACTGTGTGGCCAAAATAGTTCACCTGAATCTGGTTAAACTCTACCTAATCCCAACAGGAACCAAACCCAATATCTGCCAGAAAATGATAAATGCAGACTCTATTGGGACAACTGATAGACACATTGTTGCCAATAGACCAGATATCACCCTCGTCAACAAAAAACAAAAAGACGGGTATCTGATTGACATCGCTGTACCAAACTCCAACAATATGCAGGAAACTATCCAAACAAAACTAACAAAGTATACTGATCTGGCCAAGAAATAAAAGAACAGTGGCAACAACAAAAAGTACAGGTGATACCTGTAGTTCTTTCCACAACCAGTCTAGTACCTAATTCAAAAATAAAGAGCCTATCTAAAAAAAAGCACTGTGACAGATGTCATGTGACCACAGTTATGGCGGGAAATTTAAAAAGTTCGCCTTAAATATGTCAAAAGTGGGGTTAGATGACCAGAAATCGAAAAATTGTAGAGAGAAAAGTGGAGTACATAAAAATAGTTCTTTTCTTAACAAGTGCGCAAAGTGATACTTTCCCGCACGAGAAAGCAGTTAGACGAACGACGTGAAGCAGAGTTTGTGAAGCTTTCAGTGCAGGAAAGACACTTTGCGCGTTAGGAACAATTAATACTGTTTTCTACGAGCGTGCGGAAAAGTGTACTTTTTTCCGCACGCATTTTAGGTCATGAAAGTATCACTTTTCCGCACTAGTGATTTTCCGTTTTTTTCCCCCCTGAGTGCGGAAAAGTAATTACTTTTCCGCACTCAGTGCGGATAAGTAGAATGCCTGAAATTTTTAGGTAAACAGGTACTTAAAGGTAAACAGGTATACTACAGGTACAGGTACGAAAAAGTGAAAAAAAATATCTTAAATTGATAAATATGTAGGTTAAAATATTACCTTTCATCTCGTAGAAAAAATAGTGTTCCTAACTCGTGCGGAAAGTCTCTTTGCCGCACTTGCGCTGCCTGCAATCGCGTGTGGAAAAGTGGTACTTTCCGCACTAGTTAGGAAATATACTATTTCTACTCGTTTTTCTACGAGTGTTTGAAAATTTGCATAGCATCCAGAGGAGTTTTACGTCATCTTCTTAAATGTTTCCCAGAAGCTCAAAACTGGTAATTTTCTCTCTTAGCTCAATGTGCTGTGTTTTCCTTTTTTTTTGCACTGATCAGCTTGATTTTATTTGCAACAGTGGTTATGCTAGCGGGGTTTATTTAAAATTTGTTTTTCCTGCCAAATTTTGAGACTGAACTTGGCAGGATGATATTTTTTCATGTGACTTTTTAAATTAGTTTTATATAGTAACAAGTACAGCATCTTCCCAAAATATTCTATCCATTTTTGCTTGCATTATCATAGATCTTGCTATGTTCATTGGTGTCTGGTTCATTCTTTCCGCAACACCATTAGGTTAGGAAGTATACAGAGGAGTATAACTTACTGTCCAACTCTTATAATCTGATACTCCAAAGGAAGGTGAGTTGGTGGCTCCCCACGCCAATGGTCACCCAATGACATCGTTGCTGGATTTTTCTTCCCCTCGTTCCTCATAGGGAAAGTGTCAAATTAAAAAAGCTTAACATTACCATTATCTGAATGTCTATAAGTTTATCAAGAAACCCACAAAACATTGAAAGATCCAGTATAATTCACTCATCCCGTATCAATACGGTAATTATGCTAAACAAAAATGAGTGCGCAATGAGTTTTCGTGCGCAAAGTTCAACATTGCGTACGCAAGGGAGTGTGCAAAGTAATAACTTTGCGCACGCGAGTAAAAAAAAAAATATTTTTGTTATTTGAGATATTTTTAAGAAATAAAAGGAATAAAAGGTTGTGGCTCTGGGGGGGGGGGGGGCAATTTCCCCGTTTGCCCCCCCCCCTGTATACGCCACTGAACTCGTCAATTGAAAATGGCCGACTGTCAAAAATGGCAAATGACATTTATTACAAGGTCTACTTGAAGTTGGCTACAAGCGGTGTTGCCACATCACAAAACTTCCAAAAACAATAATTTAAAATGGGATTCTACTTGTTATTTAATAATTAAAAACCCGTTAAATAATTAATTAATAAAGATTTTAAAATTAGAAATTCCTTAATTAAGGCCTCAAAAACTTGGTTTTCAATAATTTTTTCTCACTTAACTTTTGACCGTAAATTAATGGATCTAAAACTAGAAATTTCTAGCAGAAAATGGAGAAAACTCGAAGCGTCGTACTTTAAACCAGTTTTTTCGACTGAAAAAACCCTGGAAAAGTGGAAAATTCGAGGACAACCTGGATAAAAATGTAAACACGACACTTCAAAATGGCCGATGAATAATTTGACAGTGAATAAGACAAAGAGAGAGATAAAGTAGGATAATATTTTAGTCTAAAAATGGAAGTTTTTGGTGAAAAATCGAAGCATATTTAATGCCCCGCATACAAAACAGTCTTTTTCCGATTGAAGAAGCCTTGAAAAAGTGGAAAATTCAATGGAAAACCAACATTCTAAAGCCTACTTGAAAAATCAAAGTTTTGGTCACTTACTCCATTGGAAAACTGAAAATTTTTGGTGGAAAATGGAGAAAACTCAAAGCCTCGAACTTTAAAACGATTTTTCCAATTGAAAACGGCCTGGAAAAGCGGAGAATTTGAAGAAAAACTGGATAAAAATGTAAACTCGTCAATTGAAAATGGCCGACTGTCAAAAATTGCAAATGACATTTATTACAAGGTCTACTTGAAATTGGCTACAAGCGATGTTGCCACATCACAAAACTTCTAAAAAAATCATTTAAAAAGGGATTCTACTTGTTATTTAATAATTAACAACCCGTTAAATAATTATAGTTATTTATGTATCAAGGGAATTATGAGGGTATTGACACCTGATAATTCCCGTAATTCCCGTAATTCCCGTAATTCCCGTAATTCCCGTAATTCCCGTAATTCTCGTAATTCCCGTAATTCCCGTAATTCCCGTAATTCCCGTAATAATTTTATTTCCTACTGAATTTACTGTATTTTGTCCATTTTTATAAAGAAATAAACCATAAACCAAAATTTCTATTTTTTGTCAAAGTTCCACCTATTCAAGGTAAAAGCATGGAAATGCTTAACTCCCTAGGGAGTTATGATACCCTTAACTTCCGCGCGGGAGTTACGAAATCCTTAACTCCCTTGGGAGTTAAGACCCTGTTTATGATTAGCGTAACCAAGGTATTATATGGTTATAATAGTTCAGTAGGAAATAAATTAATAAAGATTTTAAAATTAGGAATTCCTTAATTAAGGCCTCAAAAACTTGGTTTTCAATAATTTTTTCTCACTTACCTTTCGACCGTAAATTAATGGATCTAAAACTAGAAATTTCTAGCAGAAAATGGAGAAAACTCGAAGCCTCGTACTTTAAACCAGTTTTTTCGACTGAAAAAACCCTGAAAAAGTGGAAAATTCGAGGAAAACCTGGATAAAAATGTAAACACGACACTTCAAAATGGCCGATGAATAATTTGATAGTGAGTAAGACAAAGAGAGAGATAAAGTAGGATAATATTTTAGTCTAAAAATGGAAGTTTTTGGTGAAAAATCGAAGCAAATTTAAAGCCCCGCATACAAAACAGTCTTTTTCCGATTAAAGAAGCCTTGAAAAAGTGGAAAATTCAATGGAAAACCAACATTCTAAAGCCTACTTGATCAAGTCAAGGTTCTGGTCACTTACCTCGTTGGAAAACTGGAAATTTTTGTCAGAAAATGAAGGAAACTCAAAGCCTCGTACTTTAAACAAGTTTTTTTGATTGAAAAATTCTTGAAAAACCGGAAAATTCAAGGAAAAGCTGGATAGAACACTCGGCTGTCAAAAGTGGCAAATGACATTACAAGGCCTACTTGATCGAAAACAACGTTGCCACAATTTCACAATTATAATCTCAAATAGAACGTTTTTCCTCATTTTCCAACAAATAAAAAAATTTCATTTTATTAATTTGATTGTATTTTTAGAAAAAATAGTGAGACAAAGAAGTAGATAAGGTAGGATACATATAAATGAGTGAAACAAAGAAAAAGTAGGATGCACTTCACGTACTCAGTTTTAGAGGTTGGTTGCGATTCCACGAACTGTGACTTTGTCACTGCTTCACCGATACAGATGCAGCGCGGACTAAACTCAAGTCAAAGTGATGCAAATAATGAAATATTATTGTAAATGGCATCGCGGTGACGCCAAACAGAAACTGTTCCAATAAATCACTGCTATTTATCACCGTGACACGACTGGAGCAGTCACGTCTTGTGACAGCTCCAGTAAAATCGCATAAAATACTTGCAACTCTGGTAAATTCAATCGGATCCTAACGTAATTAGGCTTAAAATAAGGGCAATTAAATTCTCTACAAATCTCTATTGAATAATTTCAATGCAACTTCAATAGTTTCGTAGCTGAAAAGCTTCAAATTCTTTGGACTTTGATTTTCATCATGTTGAGCAAGCAGAAGGAAATTTCAAATTTTTTCTCCTAAATATCTATCTTTTCTCTACACATTTGAAAAATTTCAATCAAATCGCTCAAATATTTTTCCCAAAAATAAATAAAACATCCTTCAATGTCGTTTTTTGGAAGTTTGAGTTTTTCCAAAATGACATTGATATGCATTTTGCCTTACAAAATGTTAATTTCAATGCAGCTTCAATAGTTTCGCAGCTGCAAAGCTTCAAAGTCTTTGGAATTTGATTTTTATCATGATGAGCATGCAGAAAGATTTTTTCTATATTAAACCACTAAAAAATATAAACACGTTGAAAAATTCCGCTATAAACTTTTAATTAATAAATTAATTACGAGTAATCGATACACAAAATGTATCAATTTACCACATAATAAATAATTAAACATTCAAATAAATCACTTTCAACCTAAAATCGTTAATAATTATTATTTCTGCACATATAGGCCAAATGATTTACATGGACAACTGGAAAATGATGATGTACTTGGGCACGCCAGTAATGCCGGATCTCAATTCGTTAATCAACTCCGGCCTGTACATAAACGATCTATCGATGCACGATTTCAGTCGTGATCTGATGTTGGCCGGAACTCAGCAATCTGTGGAACTGAAACTGGCTCTGGATCAAGAACAGCAGAAAAGTAAGAAGTTGGAAGAATCGATGCGGAAGTTGGACGAAGAAATGAAAAGGACAGACGAGCTTTTGTATCAGATGATACCGAAACAAGTTGCTGATAGGTTGAGGAAAGGTGAAAATCCTATTGATACTTGTGAGGTAAGGAATTATTTGCTAAATTGTGATTTTAAATTTCCTTCAGGTGGTTACAAACAGTAAACATGCTAAAGGAACATTGTCCATATAAAACTCAAAACTTCATTATTTTAAAATCTAGTTAAGCTGATATTTAAATACAGAAAACTTTTATCGCTTTGCTATTTTATCCGATCAGAAAAACTTCAGCAGAAACTAAAGTTCATTTCACGAAACGAGATAGTAGAGGTAAACAAACAGGCGGAGCTTAAAAATTCAGAGAAGGACTGCAAAAATATGAATTACAACTAATGACATTTATTATTGTCAGGTTGTCATATGAATCAATAAGTTTAATGTCGTATTTCTTAGTATTTTACAATTATTTAAATAGTGTTTGGTGAATTATTGTTAATTAGTGAGCAATTTAGATTAAAACAATATCAAGTTCAACAGATTCCGCTGAAAAATATATTCAAAGAAGAGAAATACAAAACAACCTAAGACGGTCCTGCCCAGGGCGGAGTATAATCCTTTTCTCGCCAATAAAATTTAACTTAACTGTCAAAGTTTGTTCACTTTCACTATCTCGTTCCGTGAAATGAACTTTACGTGAGTTTATTTGCACTTTTGGTGATCTTGCGAATACTGATACTGAAACACTAATTGTTATCTTGCTAAAACAGTCAATTAATTAATTTAGATATAAAGCCAATTGCATACAAACTATAGGTGAAGTTTATTTTCCTTAGATATTCAAAAATTATGAAGATTGGGTTATTTTTGAGTATCCCAATATGTAATTACTATAAAACTTTAGCTCTTGGCCAGCTATCAAAATTCAAACCCTGACCGTCATACGAATTTCTCATTTCAAAAACAAGTTCTTTTCGCAAAACTCAATTTCACGCGACGTTTGCCTTTTTCTCCGAAGACAGAAACAATATTCGATGAACACTCTTGCATGTATAATAAATAAACGAACCCCTTTTAAACTCTAGAGGTTTGCTGTTTATGTCGTTGCAAAAATCAATTTTTCACAGTATTTCCCCTAAGTCAAGAGGGTCATTGAATAATAAAAATGTGTATTTTTCGCAATATGGACTGTTGATTCTCTGGATTTTATAGTTTCTATATTTCGAAGCTTTTAATTCAATCAAATTATGTTATTCTCCTGAAAAGTAAGAGCACCTGAAAGCAGTCAGTCAGTCCATCATAAAACTACACTAAAATAAGTCAGGGGACGTGAATTGATACTGCCAAAGTAAGAGGACGTCTCTTGACAAGTGAGGGAACGTCCAACAATACTAGATCAGCTCACCCAAAGACAGAGCAACCTTAGAACTAAAATGATAAATTTTCAAATTTTTTTATGTTGAGATTTTGTATCTTAATGGTCCTTTTGGACCCTCCAAACTCCATACACTAAATTATTCTTAGATTTGGAACCGGATTCTATGAAAAAAGGCATTCAAAAAAATTGAAAAATTCATAAATCACTCCAAATTCCTTAACACTATTTTATTTCTGGATTTATAAGTCCAAATGAGCTGAAATTTTCAGGGACTATAGTCCTCCTGATGGTCATTTGGGATCCTAGAAACTGCATACACTAAATTATTCTCAGATTTGAAGCCGAAATCTATGAAAAAAGGCACTCAGAAAAATTGAAAAATTGATAAATCACCCCAAATTGCTTAACACAATTTTATCTCAGGAACTATAAGTCCAAATGAGTTGAAATTTTCAGGGATTGTAGTCCTCTACTGGAATAAGAATCGCTGAAATTTTCAGCTTTCGATGTCTAACAGAAAAAAACTTATGATATATAAAATAAAACAAAATCCCTCTATTCAATCAGCGTAATTGAAACCAAATTTGGTGTAAAATCAAACTCCACAAATCGGAGATTATTAAGGATTTTCGGTTTCAAGTAGAGCGACGTCATCCCTATTAAATCGCTTTATTGTTGACTTTCGATATTGGTGGCTTAAAATCCATTGGAAATGGGAATTTATTATTGAAGTCAACGGACTGTTGCGATAAATTCCCCTGTTAATAGCTATAAGAGACAGGCCGTTATCGCTTATCGGCAACCAATTAATTTTAATTGCCAGCTTCAGCTGCAATGATGCGCAGCTAGAACTTTTAGAAAATTTAATAAAATGTGAATCGGTTTTTCTTTGGTTAAATTTCCTTTCACATTTAACACAGTATGCTTTCGACCCGGTTCCATAAAAGTCGTACATCATCCCACACCTTTCAATGATTTTCCGTGTGAAACATTGAGGGATGTTTCATTTGAATGAGATTTATAAACGTTGATTCTGGTAATTTCTCATGTTTGGTTGTCATTTTTTATTCTTATTTAATATTTAATGGCTTAAATACACATGTCGAATTTGGCATTTTTCCCAACTTTCGTTGGTCATAATTTTGTAAGTATCGTTTATTTTTGGATCAACATGTGTAATAAGGCGACATTCAATCAGTCAGCTTTATTACTCAAATTACTGGAAAACATATCGAGTTAGTATGGAAGGAAAGTTACCTAAAAAGGCAAACTGAAACATTTAAGTCTCAAAGATAATATATTTATGAAACACACAACTTCAGTAAATGTGACTTCTCACATACGCAAACCATTCCCTAATAGTCTCACTGTAAACCAAATCTTAAATCCATCAACATAAACTCTTACTAACCATCTAACCCACTTCATTATTCCAGATGTTTGACAGCGTCTCAATACTATTCTCCGACGTCGTAACTTTCACCGAAATCTGCAGCCGAATAACCCCAATGGAAGTAGTCTCGATGCTCAACGGAATGTACTCGATATTCGACAGGCTAACCGAAAGAAACCGCGTATACAAAGTGAGTATTCTAGTCTGGATTCGTCCATTTTGCACTCGAGACAGTATAATTTGCACCTACATAATTTTACTGGTGATTCATCCGCAATCCCTCTTTACACGCTACCGAGCTCAGGTGGAAACCATAGGCGATGCTTACATGGTAGTCAGTGGAGCACCGTCCAAAGAAGGCAACCACGCTGAAAGGGTTTGCGATATGGCTTTGGACATGGTTGAAGCTATAACCGATCTCAAAGATCCATCAACAGGTAATTTAATTTGATTTTTGTTGCAATCTAAACAAATAATTGTTTTTTTTTTTTTTTAATATAGGGCAACATTTACGAATTCGTGTAGGAGTCCACTCAGGAGCAGTAGTTGCAGGCATTGTAGGTCTAAAAATGCCAAGGTTTGCAACAAATTACTTAAATCATAATATTGAAGCTTATATTAAAACATTTAGGTACTGCCTCTTTGGTGATAGCGTCAATACAGCTTCAAGAATGGAATCTTCAAGCGAAGCAATGAAAATCCACATTTCCGAGTACACTAGAGACTGCTTGCCGCAGTCTTATCGAGTCCAGGAACGCGGCGAGATTCAAATCAAAGGCAAAGGCACGATGAAAACTTATTGGTTGCAAGGCAGAGAGTGCAGGACCCCAGTACCAAGGTTGCACGTGGGTCCGGTGTCTTCGTCGCAAGAGAAAATTGTAGCTTTGAGGCCTGAGATTAACGGACCGCTTTTGCCTCGAACTCCTGAGAGTCCTAAGGATTTGGTTGTGAGAGGAGTTTATTCTCCTATAACGTTCCAGGATGTTGCTAGGAGGAGTATTGCTAGTAGTCCTGTTAAGCATTTGATGAGCAGTCGAGGTTTGTCCTTTTTTTCTCAGTTTTTTTTCGTTAATTCATTTGAAAGGGAAGCACATAGACACGCATGTGGCCCATTTTACTATCCCCCTCTTGTTACATCCGTGTCCTACCTTAAGAGCCTGCAATTTTAAGGAAAGTTGCGTGCACACCCGTTCAGGTTGGTCATGCTTTATCTCATCTGGTTCCAGAAACCCATTCTTTAAACTACCATCTATCGTTGATGACATAATTGTAATAAAGCTCATAATCAGCCAGATACTTTGGCGTTTCAACTACAGGACGTGATCTACGCGATTTTTTTAAACTATGAGTTTGGTCACAATTAGAATTATCACTGCCACAACACTATTATCACTTCAACGTTCACTTAAATTTACACTACCGCTTGAAAATACATATTCTATGTCATTTTCTTGATTCTCTGTTACTTTCCTTTCTTCATTTTCTGAGTCAGATTAAGTGGAATTAATACTTGTTAGAATACCTTTCCGTGGAGAGCATTCAATAACTGTTTTTTTCAAAATCAGAAACACTAATGCAATCAGTAGAAGAATCTGTGTCAGAAATTAGTTCAACAGAACTATAATCTACTACTGTATTATCAACATTTCAATTTTTTTTTTTGAGATTTTGTGTCTTAATGGTCCTTAGGGATCCCCCAAACTCCATACACTAAATTATTCTCAGATTTGAAGCCGAAATCTATGAAAAAGGGCACTCAGAAAAATTGATAAATTACCCCAAATTGCTGAATCTTTCACTGAATTTTATCCCTTCCAAAGGACTACAATCCCTGAAAATTTCAGCTCATTTGCACTTATAGTTTCTGAGATAAAATCGTGTTAAGCAATTGGGGTGATTTATCAATTTTTCAATTTTTCTGAGTGCACTTTTTTCATAGATTTCGGCTTCAAATCTAAGAATAAATTTGAAATTTCATCGTTTTAGTAAGAAAATACCTACCTTATGATTTTTTTGGAAAATTTTGAAAGGTCATAACTTTTTTTCTATTATAGATAGATAGCTGAAACTTTCACTGAATTTTATCCCTTTCAAAGGACTACAATTCCTGAAAATTTCAGCTCATTTGCACTTATAGTTCCTGAGATAAAATCGTGTTAAGCAATTGGGGTGATTTATCAATTTTCCAATTTTTCCGAGTGCCTTTTTTCATAGATTTCGGCTTCAAATCTGAGAATAATTTAGTTTATGGTCTTCAGGGTATCACGGGGGACTAGGGATGGCAAAAATATATCGATATTTTATAAATATCGATATATTACTCAAATATATCGATATATTTTAATCGATATCTTAATATCGAAAAAAATATCGATATAATCTTTTCGATATATCGGAAATTTTAAAATAATGCCTTCGCTCGTGCGCATTTGTTGACTGTGACAGACTGACAGTTGACAGTGGCGGCTAAAATAAAACAAACGTCAGTTAGGGCATGTACGTATCAACTGAATGAGGAAAAGAGACTTTCCGCATGATTAAGGGCCGGTATTATAAAACTACTTTGACAGTTAAATAAAAGATAACTTCTGGAATTACATGAAAAGTAAATATCATGATATTTATATAAATATCCAATTATCCGATATATATTGATATCAGATATATATCAAAATTTGGATATTTATTTATATTTTTAATTATTTAAATAAGTATATGTTTTCTGTTATCTATATTATTGAAACTCAAAATAACTTTCTGGTAAATTTATTAAAATGTTACAAATATGTAAAGTTGTTATGGTGGTAATAAGTTTTTAGTGCTCCTATCTCCTATAGATACATACAGGGTTAGTAAAAAGTACTGCAACACTTAAATATCTTCAAAACTGCTTAAGCCGCGTTCACACAATTCGGAATCTGACAGTTTTTGGACATGCGGAATTCAACAGTGCTATTGGCAATGTTGCCAGATTTCCTAGTTTTGCGCTACACGTTGTCTTTTTGTTATCTTAAATAGAATGCTCCATTTATTTTTATTGCAATGAATTGGGCGTGCCAAATTTGATAAGATTCCAAACTTTCAGAATTGTATCGCTACTAGTTGCTGAAATATGCCCGCATTTTCAGTGAACGGTATCGCACCGCTTGAATATCTTCAAAACCCGCTTAAGCTCGTCCACTAAATTCGGTATCTGGGATTTTATGGGCAAGCGAAATTCAACTATGATATCGGCATTGTTGCCAAGTTTCCCAGTTTCGCGCTACTAGTGGAGAAAGAATTCTGAAAATTTGGAATCTTATCAAATTTGACAAGTCCAATTTATTGCTATAAAAATAAATGGGGCATTCGGCCGAATACCGAATACAAAAAAAAATGGCCGAATACCGAATACTCGACCGAATAGTAGCCGAATAGGCCGAATACCGAATAGTAGCCGAATATTCGTGGCATCTCTACATTCTATCCAAGATAACAACGTGTAGTGCAGAACGGGGAAATCTGGCAACAATGCCGATATCACGGTTGAATTTCGCTTGCCCAAAGACCCCCAGATACCAAATTTCGTGAACAAGCTTAAGCGGCGTTTAAAGATATTCAAGCGTTGCGATACTTTTCACTGAAAATACGGTGTTGTCATATTTCAACAACTAGTAGAGATAGAATTATCAAATTTTGTAGTCTTATCAAATTTGGCACGCCCAATTCATTGCAATAAAAATAAATGGGGCATTATATTTAAGATAACAAAAAGACTACGTGTAGCGTAAAACTGGGAAGTCTGGCAACATTGCTAATAGCACTGTTGAATTCCGCATGTCCAAAAACTGTCAGATTCTGAATTGTGTGAACGCAACTTAAGCAGTTTCGAAGATATTCAAGTGTTGCAGTACTTTTTACTAACCCTATATAGGAATGTATGGTGTAGTAGGTGAATAAAAATTCGAGTTTGAGAATATGAAAACATTTATGTTATTTATACCTTTGTACCACTTGTAGTTGTGGTTTAACACCAAAAAAGGAATGACAACTCAGAACTCAACAACAGAAATAACTAAAAAACCTAATATTCCTTATCCAAATAAATAAAATAATATTTGACGTCACTGGCGCCGACTACATGGGAGCATTGGGGCAGGTGCACCCATGAAAAACCTCTCATGGGTGCGGAGCACCCATGGGAGCTCTTGTGGGGAACGCGGAAGTACATACGTATATGATGATCATTCCGTTCCGTGGGGTAATATCGGTATCATGTAACTTAAATTGAAATCTACCCAGGATGGCCCGTAGAGATTTTGAACCTCTGAGATATTTGGGGTGATCGCAGAAACGTCGAGTGAGCGGCCGCTTAAGATGACTTCGGCCAAAGAGGATCGGCTCTTGGTGTAGAGGTCCTGCGCCTTTTCGAAGAGGAATTGGCGAGGACCCCGACCAGTGAAAGTTCTGCCGTAGTTTGAGAGCTTTTTACGTGCCGCGGCGCCTGAAGGACCCGCGCCGGAAGGGTAATTTCTCTACCCCTTTTCCGAGATTTTACCCCGAATTGCTCGGAAGTCCAGCTTTTTAAGGCGGAATCGAATTGCTGGTCACTTCCGGTCAGGGTCGTTTGAAGAAGAGTTTCCTAAGGCCGTTGTCGTTGGAATTGGGGTTGAGGTGGCCGCGGAGGGAGGCCAGCTGCAGGTTCTCGGTTCGGAGTTGTCACTCCCTCCTGACCGTCGGTGAGGTCAATAACCAGAAGGGGAGGTGGCATCAGTGGGTTGGTAGGTAGGTGGTGCGAGGTGCCGGGTGGTCATCTATGAATGTCATTTGGGTGCCAGATGGATTGGACTATTAGAGTCATCCCCGGGAGACTTTGGTCTCGGTCTCTTCTGGGTGGAGATGGTGGGGAGTTTGGGACGCACAACTCTGTTCTTTGTCCTGCCTGGGCCCTTATCCTTATAGCTACAGGCGTGCTAGGTTCAGGCGTTCAGGGGTGGTTGCGCTGGTGACTCGTGCGCTATCGTCTCCCAAGATGAAGTTTGATGGGGTCCAGAAGACTGAATCGTCAGGGAACAAGGGTGGGTCGATCTGGGGGTGAATTTTTGATGGACCAGGAGTTTGCGAGTAATATCATGTAATTTAAATTTACATAGTTTGCGCCTGCAGCAACTTTTCTCCTCCCCCTATAAACAAATTTATAAAGTTATTATCCTGCACCCTGGACCCATGAGAACTTTCAAAAGTCGCCGCCTCTGTTTGACGTGATATGGTTTTGGCCGAAATTCCTGTGATTTCTTTCTCATAAATATACTACTACGGCCATTAAACTTCTCAACATAAAATAATAAACTATAAAATAAGAAAAGAAGGTCATCCAAATAATATGGATATACAGTGTGTCCACTTAAGTTCGCAGCATATGGGAAACTTTTTTATTATCTATTAATTTCACGAAAAAAAGTTATTCTTTATAAAAGTTTCTGCTTCTCGAAAAAATAATATTAAACTACTAAAACTTGGAATAGCATGTACAGGGTGGTCAAAAAATAGAAAAATATAAAAAAAAATTTGATAAAAAACGGAAAAAATAAAAAAAAAAATGGCAAGTCACTATTTTTCAGCAAGTCATATTAAAGTCAAAAGATACCTGTGGTTATCACAAACAGACCTGCCAAATTTGAGAAAAAAATTGGAAAATGGATTTTTGAGTTAAAAAAACAATTTTTTCTAAAATTTTGACACCCTGTATCTCAGAAACTATGCACCGGCCACATGTTTATGGGAACTTTTTTTTTCTTAAAATATTGTAAGGAATCACATCCTGAAGTTACGAACCGTACTCAGGAAACACCCTGTATATTTTTCTATTTTTTGACCACCCTGTACAGGGTGTCCCATTGAAGATGGGAATTGGGGTTATCTGCTAAACTCGTAGAAATAGATTTTTTTTGATTCCACATTCCCGGGCCAATTTTTCATGACGAATCGAATGCCACAAACCGCAGGTCTCTATCTTGTTTCGTTTTGGAGATACAGGGTGAAACTTGAAATGTTCACTT